AGCCACACGATGAAGATGTGGAAGAGAGTTGTGGAAGCTAGACTTAGAGGAAAGGTGACTGTGAGCAGTAGTATGGTTGCATGCCAAGAACAAGCACCATAGATGCAATCTTTGCTTTGAGGATGTTTGATATTGTGATCTGTCGTGAGAACAGGGAACAGGTGGAAGAAAACTTGGCGAGGTGAAGGTATGCACTTGAAAGAAGAGGAATGAAAGTCAGCCGTAGTAAGACAGAGTACATGTGTGAATGAGAGGGAGGCTGGTGGAACAGTGAGGCTACAAGGAGCAGAGGTCACAAAGGTGCAGGACTTCAAGTACTTGGGGTCTACTGTCCAAGAAAATGGGGAGTGTGGTGAAGAGGTGAAGAAGAGAGTCCAGGCAGGATGGAGTGGATGGAGGAAAGTTTCAGAAGCTATTTATGACAAACGAGTGACAGCAATAGTTAAAGGAAAAGTATGCAAGACAGCCTCAGACTGAAGAAGTCTTTCGGATGAAAGACGAAACATTTCTACTTTTTTTTTGTTTTTTTTTTAACATCCAGAGGACCTGACTTAACTTTTATAGATTTTTCTACCAGGATTATTGAGCATGCATGAGGATATGCAAGACAGTGGTAAGACCAAATATGCTGTATGATCTGGAGACAGTGGCATTGACAAAAAGACAGGAGAAAGAACTGGAAGTAGCAGAAATGAAGATGTTGAGGTTCTCCTTAGGAGTGACAAAGATGGATAAGATTAGGAATGAGATCATCAAACGTACAACACAGGTTGAACAACTGGGAGATAAAGTAAGAGACCAGACTGAGATGGTTTGGACATGTCCAGAGGAGGGACAGTGGGTATATTGGTAGAAGGATGTTAGAAATACAGCTGTCAGGAAAAAGACAAAGTGGAGATATATGGATGCAGTTAGAGATGGAGATAGTTGGAGTGAGGACAGAGGATGCAGAAGACAGAGTGAGATGGAGGAGGAGGACTCATTGTGGCAACCCCTAAAGAGGAAAAAGCCAAAAGAAGAAGAAGAACTGTAACGGGGACAAAAAGACAGCATTAAAATTATGTTTAAGGTAATTTAACTCACGTGAGGGGAGTAGAGGTTTGCATATTATGAAGAAACAACTGCCCACTGAGGAAGCATTGCCAGGCATTATGCATGCATCTGGAAGGTTATAGTGGCAGTCTCTCCAGCAAAGTGATGAAAATGATCAATATTCTCACAGAACTATCTTAACCCCTGCAAGATCTCATGGGGGGGAAAAAAAATCTAACAAGCGTTTAATGTTGTGTCTATTTTTATTATTTTTCTGGGTCTTATCAATATAGTAAATAAAAACTTTCTTGAAAAAGTCTAAAATACCTTCTAATTTAGATTTTGTCATATTTGTTTCAAAGGATCCAATAACTTGACTGTAACATTACACGTCTCTTTTGTTCCTTAGGGGAAAAATTAGCCATAAGGAAATTCTGTTGTTAATACATTTTTTTATCCCGTGTTTATCATATAATAAAATAATGCATTCCTCTCAATAAGGATCTTTTTCTTTTGCCTGTGTCCCTATGTGTTTTACTTTTATATTAGCTAACTCAGTGAAGTTTTGCATTTTACATTTGAGAGCCTCTGAAAAAATTACCGGTACTGACCTTATGTCTTTCTTGGCTGGACGTTGCAACAGACTTCCACCTCTTATTTCATGTGGTAAAAGTGTTTTAATTTGGATGTAAAAAGCAAAAACACACTTTCCTGTTTCCAGGACTAATGAGCTAACAACTCCGAACAGTTTTTAAACAACTTGGAATCGGGTCCACTTGGAGAAACCATTTTTAGCTTGTGCTTAGAGTTTGAACAGATCCACTTCCAAAACAGGTTTGATCATCTTGAAACAACTTTTGAATTTAGTCTTTAGAATTTCCATCCATCCATCATCTTCCACTTGCTCCGAAGTCGGGTCGCAGGGGGGCAAAAGCTTCCACAGCCAGCTCTTTCAGCTCTTCTGGGAGGACTCCAAGGCGTTCCTAGGCCAGCTGAGGCTCCAGCGTGTCCTGGGTCTTCCCCGGGATCTCCTCCCAGTCTGACATGCATGAAGCACCTCCCTAGGGAGGTGCCCAGGGGGCATCCTTACCAGATGCTCAAACCACCTCAACTGGCTCCTCTTGATGTGGAGGGGCAGTGCTTCTGTTCCAAGTCTTAATGATTCATAATAATTGAACTTCTCACCCTATCTCCACTTGATCCTCACCCTTGACCTGAAGAGAACAATCCACTCTTTTCCGACTGAGGACCATGGGCTCAGATTTGGAGGTGCTGATTCTCATCCAAGCCACTTCACACTCAGCTGCAAACTGCTCCAGTGAGAGCTGAAGATCACGGCACAATGACACCAACAGGACCACATCATCTGCAAAGAGCAGAGAAGGAATCCTGAGGCCACTGAAACAGAATCCTTCAACCCGCTGGCTGCCCCGAGGAATTCTGTCCTTAAAAGTTATGAACAGAATCAGTGACAACGGGCAGCCCTGGCAGAGTCCAACTCCCACCCTGAAGGGGTCCGACTTACTGGCAATGCAAACCAAACTTTCAAACCGCTTGTATAGGGACCGAACAGCCCATAGCAATGGGTCTTTAGAATTTCTTAAATTACATTTTAGTATGCATTAAATTGTTAATCTCACAATTAAAAAAAAAGAATTCTGCAGGAAAGTCAGAGGTGGCACTATAACTGCTACAGCCAACTGCTGCTGCTGGTATTAACAGTTGCATGTAGCCACAGAATTAGCTGTAAATAGTGTTGAGAAGCTGATGGCAGCGTAGTTTTATAAAACAGTGTTGGCATTCATGAACGATGTAAAATTTTGGAGGCTGAAGATGTTTTAAGATGACAGCAATCAATGGCTTTAGCTGTTAGCACATCAGTCCTGTGAAAATAAAATCTACTGCTCCTAACTGAAGTTTAAAGAGCGTTATAGAACTGGATATTAATTATGTTTTAACATTAAAAAACAACAATTTCAAAAACCTTCTATTTTGCTTCACTTTACAAAAGCCCTCATAAGTTTCTGACGGCCGGTGCTGTCAGTCAATCCCTGTGGAAACTCAAAGGTAAGAGGAAACAAATTTAGTGGAAATAGAGCCCGAAGACACTTCCAAAAGGCCTTTCTTCTAAAACCTTAGTTTGTGTCGTCACACACAACTACACAACGAGTGGATGTGTATATAATGCAGTCAAAAAGCCATCTCCATCTGGTTTCTAAGGGTATTAGGCTTGAAAGGCACCTTGAGCGCAGACAGACTGTCAGAGCGAGCGTGATGGAAAGCCCTGAGTTTATAAGCCAAGATTAATAACTGAGAGTTGTAATAAAACTGTGCTCAGCCTCTGACCGTTCAGTTTTTATACTCAAATATGGCCTCACAGATTTATCTAAATCACACAGAGTGAATTAATGTAAGATGATCATTTTTACCAACAGGGGTCATCAATAAAATTTCCCAAGGGTCAGAATGTTTCTAATCAGATGGGCTGGCCTTTAATTAACCAGATTTTTATTTATTTGATGGATTTTTCTGCTGCCATGAATAAATAGCAATGCCCATTTTCTATTATTGTTCAAAAGTATTGAACATTTTCCTGTATTTTCTGTTCCATGTTTTCTAAAACTGTGTGGTCACAAGCCCTTTTTGACTTAAAAAAATATATATTATATCCGCCGTCCTAAAGACCAGAGGAAGATGTGAAGAGTGCCTAATAGAGATGATTGATGCAAAAACATGGAGAAAATATATGAATATTTCTACCCATTAAGAAGACAAGATGTAGAAAAAATTGAAAATTGTGAAAAATTGTATGCCGATTTTAGAGGTAAACACATTCTGAGGAATTTTTCAAGGATACCAATGCAGCTGCTGCCTGACATTTTTAAAACAGCCTTCTTCTCTAAAGTCCAGGAATAATTCGGGACTTACGTCATTAAACTCTGTTCCTGTTCTGAAGTAGAAGATGATCAGGAAGGTTAAAAACAACCAAGGTCAAATTAATGTTAAAACTGTAGACTGTGATTCATTAAGGTCTCCGTGGTAACCACAAATCAGTCTGTCGCTCCCTGCAGTACTTTTAACAAAATACAGACAAAAATTAGGGTTAGACAGTACAAAGTAAACCTCAGTGTGTAAAAGATACGCAACAGTAACAGAAGATGATTTTTAATTATTATCAACCAACATAAAGGTTGGGCAATTATAGTTGGGTCTCTGTGTCTGAGTGTGTGTTCATTTGTCTCTTTGTTAGCATAATATCATCTCATGGGGAAACTGATTAACTTTTGAAGTCAGTACAATTCAAGATGGCTGCCACAGCTAACTTATCAAACACAAAAATAGATTATTTAAAACAGGTTTTTAGTTACATTTTGGACTTTGGTGTGGAAGGAGCTGAGACTGATCAGCCACATATACTGAACATCTTATACAAACTCGGTGTCATCTTTGTTTTTTAGCAAAATATCTCATAAACTACTGAATGTTTTGTTGCTGAAACCTTTTGAACGTCATCACTAGATGTACCTCTACAACTGATTTAATGTTAAACTTAACACAATCCTGGAAGCTTGACACAGCATCTGATACTAGAAAATAAAAAATTAAAATGTATATGATGCAGCCAGTTTAATAAATGTTGAGATAGTATCCTCATTGGTGGCCTTTCACTGGTTCAGTGAGGCCAGTGGTCTGGAGGTGTCTATGTGACCTTGGGAGCTGGTCCCGAGCTGCTCGAGGGTCTCAACCCCTCACTTTTTTTGCAGTCAACCCCACATCTAAGGGGTTTCAGGGTGCGGCTGCAATCTGGTGTGGCAGTAGCTGAGTCATTCGCAAACACATTCTGAGCATCATCACATCCTGAAAGATCTCATGCCATCACAGCAGATTGTACAAAACAGCATTTCAAGGTTTGACTGACACTGCTTTAACTCCATAAAATCATCTTATTTTAATAGTTTGCCATAAATAACAGCAGTTTGTTCATAGTTCTTGAAGGAATAATGAGCTGTATGTCTGACATTTTTTGTATCGTGCCCTGGTATGACTTTTATTGTGAAATGCTGCTATTTAAAATGTTTTCTGTAAATGTGGATGGATGTGAGTGGTAGAACAAATGTTTGTAGGAACAGTCCACCAACCTGAAGCTGTGAGGAACTGAATGAAGAACAAAAGCAATATTAAAACTCACCTCAACACTTTGGTCTTTTGATCTTTATTATTGTCCATCACAAACCCTAAAGATCTTTTTTTTTTTTTTTGAAAATCCATTTGAGACGTACGAAGGCTTCTTTATTGAAAAATAATCCTGTGACCTGGCCTGTGTGTGTGTCCTCGCTCCTCAGAGATGATTGTTTTGACTGATGTTGCCCCTGACTTTAGGTTCAGTCTGATAAATTTCCATTACAGGAAGACAAACGGAAAGAAAAATAACCTGGGTGTCCATCATCCTTTGTCTGCGTGCTGAGAGGTTAGATACTGACCTGAGGTTGCCATCTTCATGACACCATCCACCCAGTAATATGGAGCAGTATTTATAGAACAAAATGTTTATATAATATCACTGTGGGGTTAATGTGAAAACGCATTGGTTTGGGTAGCTAAGTATTTGTCCTTCAGTTTACCTCTTTTCAGTTCCCAGCAAGATGCAATAAGTAAGTCATTATAAATTATTCATTTCACAATTTAGCAGCTATTCAAGCTAAAGTTTCCCAGTTTGCTCCAGAGTCTGTATCTTTTTCTTTAGTTTCTGTCCTTCAGGTGTCCTGTTGTTATAGACAATCTCTGCAAAGTGCAACCTGTCCACGTCGGTAGTCTCTGCAGGGGCAAAGACGTCTGTATTTAGGGGAGTGTCCTGCACAGCTGAAGAGTAAGGGTTCCCGCTGAAGGCCGCACTCCCGCCGCAACACGGAGAAGGCTGGGAGGATGTGGTTGATCTCTGAGTCGACTACTTCACACTGCACCTCCAACCTAAAGGGAAAACAGAGAGGTGGAGGTCTTACTACAGGCCAACAAAAACACTCGTCTTGTATCCGCACAAGCCATAACCGAAAAAAACAACACTTTTATTACCTGTAAAATGTTTACTATAGGAAAATAAATGTCACTCAATTTATTGTACAACACATGCCTACTTTTAAAAGAACAATGGAACTGATGGACTGGAGAGATTTAAGAGGCAAGAAATAAGTTAATAAAGCTTTAAAGGAGGTACCAGAAGACAAGAGGGAAAACAGACCCGAGTAGCAATGATGAAAACAAAATGAAAGAAGCAGTGGGCTGAGTGCCCCATTCCTGAGGGATTTCTACTGTGAATGTTTGTAGCTTTGGAGGTGAGTATTTTTCTGGACTGGAATTGAACAGGGATTGCAAGAAGTCTTTAATGTTTTTGTTGCAAGATATTCAAGAGGGTACGAGTTACATTGTGCATAAAAACAGAGGTAGCTTTTTTAATTTCTAGTCCAAGGCAGTGCAGAGTAACAGAGTAATATCACCAGATGCAATGGTGGAGCCAAGGGGTGGTCAATGGTGGCCTTGGCCACCAGAGATTAATATTTGTCCTCCACACCAGCCACCGCAATCATTTGAGGAAACTACACTTATAAGTATAATGAAAACTATAACCACAATTTCCTATCATGTTATGGGTGTCTGGTTTACATACTGTATGTATGTGTGTGTGTGTGTGTGTGTGTGTGTATATATTGCATGAGGCATAAAGGCTGCACAGCTGCAGAAAAGCTTTGCAGAGAGTGGTGAAGGCTGCACAGAAGCCTGTTGGAGTCAGCCTCCCCACCATCACAGACATTTACACCTCAAGATGGAGGAAGAGGACCACCTGCATCATGAAGGACCCCACTCACCCAGCACACATACTTTTTGACCTGCTCTGCTCAGGAAGGAGGTTGCGTAGCATTAAGTGTAGAACCACTAGACTGAGGCCCTGTACACACGTAGCCTGGTGTTTGAAAAAACGAATATCTGCGCAAAAAAATATCGCCGTACATACATGTTCGGATAGAGAAAATGATCGTCTACATGAACCCGGTGATGTTCACCACAGAGCGTTGTAAAGAATATGCCCAACCCATAGGAGGCAGTGTAGTGCAAAGGTGAAACGTATATCAGCCAATCACAACCCTTCAAAGCAACCACAACTTCCTGTTAGTATTGAATCATGGCGCCTGGAGGTTCGTTTGTGTGGACAGACCGCGAGGTTGAACTACTATTAAATACCGTGTTGGAGTACAAAGTTAATAAAACTCAGGAAAATGTCGACTGGGAATCCTGTCAGAACAAGTATGTTGATATTTTAGCGCTTTTTCCCTCCGAATGAATGGGCAAACAAAAACAATTGTCGCACATGTGACGTCAGCGCCGCGCTGCACCATCTGTCGCAGACATAATGCGCATATCTCCGGTTCCGAAAGTCCACACGCAAACCCGAAAGAGGAGATTTCACAAATCTCCACTTTGGTCGGAGTTTTTGTTATTATTCGTTTATAGTTACATCAACCGGAGTTCACGTGTGGATGAAAGGCCACACCGCATGATAAACTATTCGGTTTTCCTGATATCCGGCTACGTGTGTACAGGGCCTGAGGAACAGCTTCTACCCTGAGGCTATTAGACTCATGAATCTCTAATCAGGATAATCACTGTGAAAAAAATCACATGCTGTTGATTTGTTTTATGTGTTCATTCGTACTCATCTGCTCACACACACACACACACACACACACACACACACACACACACACATATATATATATATATATATATATATACAAAACGGATTCCAAAAAAGTTGGGACACTAAACAAATTGTGAATAAAAACTGAATGCAATGATGTGGAGATGGCAAATGTCAATATTTTATTCGTAATATAACATAGATGACAGATCAAAAGTTTAATCTGAGTAAATGTAACATTTTAAAGGAAAAATATGTTGATTCAAAATTTCCCAGTGTCAACAAAATCCCCCAAAAGTTGGGACAAGTAGCAATAAGTGGCTGGAAAAAGGAAATTGAGCATATAACGAACAGCTGGAAGACCAATTAACACTAATTAGGTCAATTGACAACATGATTGGGTATAAAAAGAGCTTCTCAGAGTGTCAGTGTCTCTCAGAAGCCAAGATGGTAAGAGGATCACCAATTCCACCATTGTTGCGCAGAACGATAGTGCTGCAATACCAGAATGGTGTTACCCAGCATACAATAGCAAAGACTTTTAAGTTATCATCATCAACTGTGCATAACATCATCAAAAGATTCAGAGAATCTGGAACAATCGCTGTGCGTAAGGGTCAAGGCCGCAAAACTCTACTGGATGCTCGTAATCTCCGGGCCCTTAAACGTCACTGCACCTCAAACAGGAATGCCACTGTCAAGGAAATAACAGAATGGGCTCAGGAATCCTTCCAGAAAGCATTGTCAGTGAACACAATCCACCGTGCCATCCGCTGTTGCCAGTTGAAACTCTACAGTGCAAAGAGGAAGCCATTTCTAAGCAAGCTCCACAAGCTCAAACGTTTACACTGGGCCAGGGGTCATTTAAAATGGAGTGTGGCAAAATGGAAGACTGTTCTGTGGTTCGATGAGTCACGATTTGAAGTTCTTTACGGAACACTGGGACGCCATGTCATCCGGACCAGAGAGGACAAGGATAGCCCAAGTTGTTATCAACGCTCCGTTCAAAAGCCTGCATCACTGATGGTATGGGGTTGCATGAGCGCTTGTGGCATGGGCAGCTTGCATGTCTGGAAAGGCACCATTAATGCAGAGAACTATGTTCAGGTTCTAGAACAACATATGCTCCCATCTAGACGTCATCTCTTTCAGGGAAGACCCTGCATTTTTCAACACGATAATGTCAGACCACATTCTGCAGCAATCACAACATCATGGCTACGTAGGAGAAGGATCCGGGTACTGAAATGGCCAGCCTGCAGTCCAGATCTTTCACCTATAGAGAACATTTGGCGCATCATAAAGAGGAAGGTGTGACAAAGAAGGCCCAAGACGATTGAACAGTTAGAGGCCTGTATTAGACATGAATGGGAGAGCATTCCCATTTCTAAACTTGAGAAACTGGTCTCCTCTGTCCCCAGACGTCTGTTGAGTGTTGTAAGAAGAAGGGGGGATGCCACACAGTGGTAAAAATGGACTTGTCCCAACTTTTTTGGGATTTGT